GAAAGAGAAACAGTTTTATGCAAATTGAGCAGTCCTGTGTGTTCTGCAAGAGGAAACTGAACCTCTCCTGAAGTTGAGAACAAGCATGCAGCCTAGCTGTAGATACTTAAATCGTAGCGGATCCTTCTGTAAAGAGACTGCTGTGGTGTTGAGGCTTGCAGTAGGAAGGGAGGTATTTCCAACAACATTGTACATAGCTCTTTAACCCAGCAGGCTGTCCCTTCTGACAGAAAATTGATTTCTTGCCAACACCTTTATGGTCCATAGGTAGACATGGAGAAAGGCAGAGTAAATAACTTATATTTCAAATAAGCAGGAAGAGTAGCACACCTATAGGGAAACATATTTAGGTGGCCTTCTGTATGCTTATGTCTTCTGAAATTATGAAATTACGTGAGTTACTTCTGATCGTATCTTTTGATGTGCAAGTGATTTGTTTTAGAATACCTTTAATTTAATGTGAAGTTGCTTTTCATTCTGGCATGGACATCATCCAGGTAATACTTGCAAGCCCTAGTCTTTTCGATCCTAATTGGACTTTGGACAATAGAGCATAGATGGCACGGTACTGGAGAGCTATCAATGATGATTCTTGCTGACACGGTGTGTTATCTAGGTCCCTTACAATGCCAGTTGATGCGCCTGGCACCTCAGGTGTACAGTGGATGTTTCATTTTAGCCAGCTCCCCATGATTATAAGGCTTTCACTCTTTTCAGAGTGTACTAAGTCTGTTGAAAAGAGGACCAGAAAAACTCCCTTTCCATTCTTCTTCTTGAATTTTATTTACTTAAAAGTGAAAAGGTTACTTAAAGTTTGTGTGATGTAAACAGGATGCTAATGGAGAAAAAAGTGGGTTCTGACTTTTTATTAAATCTCAAGTGACTTGCAGTTACTTAGTTCAGGTTTATCTAAAACAACCAGATTTTCTTTAATTGTTTTGTATTACTTAAATAGCGCTAAAATAACGTTGTCAGCTGTTAAATTTTCATCGGGACATACTGAATCCACCTCTTCAGGAATAGCATGCTGTATGCGTTTAAGTGGTGTTTGTTGGTCTATATCTGGAAAGCTTTTATCTCTTAATATCTTGTTTCCTAATCCTGTTGCTCTATCCAGTAACATTTCATAGCTCTGTCCACAGCTGAGAGAGACTTTGATCTCTGCCGTGGTAGAAAATTTTATACTACTTTTCCCACAGATGTGGTTTCTGTTATCTCTTACTACTTTCTCTGTTGGATTTTAAGGTAAAAAAATTTAAGCTATACAAGTTTAAAGGTGCCTACATGAATTTTTATAAAACTGAATTATATAACAGACTTTTGAGAATGCTGCCTCCCTTTTGAAAGGTGCCTTTTGGCTTTTATTGCTTTCACGATTCTTCATTCTAATAGCTCATTACCCTATTTTAATGTTCTTTTTTGTTTTTACATTGTATTTTAGTTTTGGACATGCTTGTACTGAAGCAAACTGTATGTCATCCGTAGGATTACTGCTTTTCATCCATCTCATATTTGAAGTACATTTATGTTGGCCATAGTGTCTACTTTCAGAGTTAATTTTGGCAGTTTAAAGAGGTCCTCTGGAATTGTGGACATTTATTAAGTAGTATTTTCAAAAAGATGTATCTCACCTGAGAGTCTGGAATAGGATTTCACTGGAGAAGGATGGGATTTTAGCTTTTGAGGCTTGAGAAACTTATCACAGTCTGCTGGTGCTTTCCCCCTCCCACATAAAGTAGAAATGTTCTGAGTAAGGGGGAAAGTGTGTATTAAACAGTAAAATGCTTTTAGCTTAACAGAGGACATCGATTGGTTGCACAAGTGCTGTGTTATGGTTCTGTCACATTTTCAAAAAGGACTATAATTCCTTTAAAGAAATTTACTGTTCTCTTAAGCTTAAGACTACGAAAGTGCAGTTGATCTGCAAGTACACTCCAGTGATCATTTCTGTTCGTGATGGCCGTCACCAGTGCTCCAAAACAATGTATGAGAATCAGTGCTAGCCAGCAATTTCCAAAGGGTTTCAGGTAAGAGTGTCAGGGCAACAGAAGAAAATACTCTCTAAAATTGGGCTTCTGGCACCTGTATTTCAGATTTTCCCTGATCCCTGTGTAAAGCAGAAGCACAAAAACACAGCAGATAGCCCTCCGTGTCTGAAATGTCTAATACAGCCTTGAAAAACAATTGTGAAAAGGATGTGCTTATATCTGGCTCCCCACCCTCCTTCCAGGGGAACAGGGAGAGGCACTTCTTGTCCAAATTAAGAGATGCAACGACTTCCTGTACAACTGCCACAATATAGATTCGTCTGCACTGGTTTTCTTCAGGCAAGCGAAAGATTTCCTGTCTTGTTTCAGAAAAGATCCTTTAGTTATTTGAATCTCCTTTGTTATAGATTTTAACCTGAACTATGTTAAGCTGAGAAAGCTTAAAAAGATCTTTTGTTTTGTTTCCGGCTAATATGTTAAACTGGATATATTTTGTGGTAGAGCTTTTGCTGAAATCCCATAGTCTGCACTGCAGAACTCACTTCTTTAAAAGGAATATTTTATGGGACACTTCATTCGAATTACTCTTAGGATCTGTCATGTTTTCAGAGCTATTATGCAAATAAATTTTTTTTGTTTATATCTTGAAAAATCACTGTTTATTCCAACCATTTTTAGTAGCCCAAGATTCTTACACTCTCGGTGTTTGAAAGGGTGAATGTATTTGTATTATAAATTACTATTGTCTCTAAATTTCTACAATCCCTTAATGACCAGTGTGTCAGACTACACTGTGTGTTTCCAGTTGTGTAAACAGAAATGTCTTTCATCCGTTTCAGCTGCTGTATCATGGAGTTATCTTCTGCATTGCATTTTGTGCCTTTGGTACAGAGCGCTGTGTGGGTTTGGGTTGTTCCAGGATACATTACGGCATCAGAAGGGACAAAAGAGCTTTGCACACTGTTGAATTCAGACATCTGGCGTTTGCCATTTCTGTTACTCTTCCTTTATACCATCGATACCTGTTCAGCTGACAACTCGAGTGCATTGTGTTTGCAAAACCATTTATTTCTCTCTGAATTTGAATGCACTTCCTTGTAGGCGAAATGTGCATGTGTAAAAAGCTGCTGTTGGCTGCTGGGGTTTTACAAGATCAGCTTTTAATATTGTCCTTTTTTACAGTAGCCTGCACATGGCAGATAACTCACAAATCTTGTTTTCACAACCTTCTTTATTTAGTTATACTTCGCACTGTAGCGATATTTATGACTGCATTAGGAAAAAAAAAATAGTTACAGTCCCCAGAAGGACTGATAAACAGCTGTTTCGTAAACACCTATAGCATATGAACCATATTGTAATATTTTTCAGCCTGTAGGCAGGTATTGATTCAAATGTAAATTCATTGTTCTAGCAGCGCTAAAGTTAAAAATAGCTTGTGTTGGGAAGCATAATTCTTGGGCATATAGTCACAGCTTTCGATGTGTGAGTTGGGTTTTTTAAAGGCTTTTCTTCATAAGAATGCAGTTAGCTTTAGGCTTTCTAACAAGAGGCTAATGGCTTCCTAGTGCGTAAGTTAAGTAATTCGGCAAAATTTGGCGTTAGTGGGGTTTTTTTTGCCTGTTTGGACAAATTGCCATCTGTGTAAATGTGTTTCCCATTTCAGTTGCAGATCGCCTGGGCTGTGACCCTCGAACACGTTTCCAAGTTCCACCAAACACCAAGCAGTGGATTGCTTTACTGCAGCGAGGAAACTGTACGTTTAGAGAGAAAATACTGCGAGCAGCTTCACATAATGCCACAGCTGTGGTCATTTACAACAATATATCCAGTGAAGAACCTGTCACAATGACTCATCAAGGTAAATAAAATGGAATCTCTTTCACCATAATTCTTTTTTGCCCAAGTACTCTTTTGCCGAATAAACTATTGCTAAAGAGCTCTTGGCAGTGCACAGATGATGCTATTTGAAGTAGCCTGTTCTCAAATGATGTTTACATGTATGCAATACAGCAAAATAAGCAAATAATTCTGGAAAGTTGTTTTCCTTTAGCATACATTTTATCCAATGAGGGACACTTTCCTCTGTAGTGGGGATATGGATGTTTTGGAGTAAGGAAATATCTGTAAGATCTTAGGAGTAATCTATTTCAAGCGTTGCTGAAGAAGAAAACCTAACGTATAATGAAAGATATAGAATTTTACAAAGCATCTGTACCTGAAGGTTTTTTATAGTAGCATGTCTTCAACTGGCTGTTATGGTGAGGACTTCCAAATGGTAACAGTTATATCAGGATCTGAGCTTGCATGCTTCTTTTTGATGACTGTTTACTGAGGGTTCTCTTCCTTTCATGTGTCTTTGAGTGCCATCCAGGAATCAACAGAACTTAGTAATTTGGAAAGCGGTTACCTCTAAGTTGTCTAAAATTAGACAACTAATTATTGCTTGCCTAGAGTAATGATGAAATTCTGAATTTCTACTGTTTTAGGGTTATCTGTGTAAAATTTTGCTGTTACTAATGAGTTACTTTAGCTGGTGGGAGCCTCATACATAAAATTTTTTCTTGGTTAAAAATGATTTTCATAGTTCTGGTAACTACATTTTTTGTTTTCCCAGAAGGTTTTCTCAGTTTGGAATTGTTTAACTTAATCAGAAAAGGCATATTTCTATATTTGATGGCTGTACTGCTGGCTGATTATTTTTTTTTGTAGTCTTTATTTTCAGTCCTTTTTCTTTAAGCATAGGGGGTTGCTTGGAAACTGAAATTTCCTAATTATTGCTCTGCATATTGTCACACAATTAGAATTTTAATTCTTTTACTAAAGTGCTATGGTTGCTTCTTTCTCCCTTTTTTACAAGGGAAATGTCTTGTGGCTTCTTCTGGCTTAGTGAGGTTTGACCTTCTCTTCTTCTATATACCACAGGAATTTTCCAGGGAGATTTTGACCTCTGTGTAACAATTCAAAGCCTCTTGACAATCCGTTTTTTTCTTAGGTACCTTCTTTGGACATTTTTTCAAGTAATCTACAGGAAAAAAGTCCCATATTCTAGTTAAACACTTTTTACCACCTTCCTTTTGTGGTTTTTTGGTGGTTTTTTTTTTCCACTTCTCTCTCTGCTGATGCAGAACCCTCCTTAACCTTCAGCTTTTTGAAATGCCTATAAGATTGTAAGATCTGTAGTCTGTTTAGCAATGATTTGTGACCTCTGTGGCCTGGAACATCTTGTCATGGCAGAAAAAAAAGACTACCAATAACAACACAGCTCTAGCATTTTTTTTCTCTAATACATGTTAAATTATATAATGGGTTTGATTACCATTTTAATACTTTCTTTCTCATGATGCCGTTAGATTTGCCAGGTGCTTTCGTAGCAATGGGATACTGTCTTGTCTTTTGTTAGGAAATCCTAGTTCACTCAGTGTTTCAGCTTTGAAGACCAGTGTGTTGCCTTTGAAACTTTATCAGAAGATCCAGTGATTCTGGTAGGTTGAAATAGTGTCTCAAGTTATAAAAAGCGAGAGCCACTGTGAGTAAAATGGCATCTTGTAAGCTAGCCAGGCAACTGTTTGGATACTTGATATTTGGAAAAAAGCTAATACTGTCTTCAGCAAGTTGATTTCCAAATATTTACTCTTACTCATGACAAGCTTTAAAAAAAATGCAATTACTGGAGATGATGCATATTTTATCTTTGAGATGCTGATTTTTAGCTGCATGTACTCAGTCTCTGGTATACCCAAATCTGTCACTCACTTGGGCTCTAGGCACTATCTCAAAATTAGGATTGGCCTTGAAGTGCTCAAACTGTGAGACAGATAAAAAGTAATTATCTAGAGCTGAAGTAGCATCTTAGCACCACTCTGTAATAAGAGGAATGTCACCCCACAGCTTTTGTTTTGATTGCGTTATGGTCATGTAAGGCATCTCCTCAGCAATCTGTGCTTTGCAGAGCTTCCTATAAATAACTTCCTGTTTGCCTCGTGTAAGAACTGCAAGTGCGTGTAACTGAGACGTAGACTCAGTTGGTGTTAGCCCCAGCACAGGGAGGGTTTGGGATCCAGCATTCCCCTCAGTGAGAATTACTCCAAGTGAGATACAGATTCACAAAGTCATGCTTATGGGATGAGCCTACTCGAAGGAATGCTGTGTGTAAAGCAGTCTTACACACATTCAGGGCGCTCCCTGATCTTCCTTTTTCTGCCCTTTCAACCACACCACTGCTTTTGTGCTTTTGAGGTGGTGAACGACCACATCATCTGCTAATTAGATGTTCTGGTGCACTGCCTGTCTTCTCTTTTGGATTTTCTGTCTCTAAAGGTCAGGAAGAGTGGACCCTGTGTATTTGATAGCTGATCTGCTGCTGATTCAGTTAAATACATGCTAAATGGTGGTGATATAAAATGAAAATGAAGGTGAGCCACCAAGTTGCTCTTACATCCGTATGATGTCTAGTGCTGTGCAGTATTCCTTTTTTTCTTTTAAAACTGCATTCTTCACAAGACAGTTTTGCAGCTGTGTTATGATGACCAGGTTCATGGCTCTGATTTCTTTCCGTAGACAGGTGAAAATAGACCTTGTGTCATTTTATGTTACTGTAACGTAATTTTTATCTTGCTGCGTACCAAGCCTTAGGAATATTCTGTCTTCCTGACGAAGCAAAGAGGGAAGTGGCAACTGCTGATAATGCACACTCTATGAACTGCACGCTTTCCTACTTTGATATTTGCATGAATTCCAATCACCAGCTTAGGCAACGTCTGTGCTAAAAATGAGTAAAATATTATATAGATTTATGTATGTTGCCCCTGCAGAGAGGTGATTCCCTATGAGAAGAGCTCAGTAAACAGTTCTCACCTATGGGATTAATATTTTATCCAAGTTATTTTATGCTTGAATACACGTTTGAAGATTTCAGTCTTATGGAAATTTGTTCATACTCAACATACTATTTAGCAGAATATGAATTCCTTCTGGTGACTAGATAACAACTGTCACTCTTGAATCACTCTATCATCACCATGTCAAATGAACACTTTCTATTGCTAATATCAGTATTTGTTTTTCTTCTGTAATAGTTCACTAAGTCTCTGCTCCTTTGACTTCAAGCTGAGTTTTAAAATAGATATTGGTCTTAAGGTGATGAACTTTAATAGAAATATATTTTTTTATGTTATTTGCAACATTATTTTCTTTTCTCTATATATTTCCTTGTATTTATTACTGTGTCCATGTAAAATAAGTTTATTTTACACATTCTTGTAGATGTCCTCTATCAACCTAAGTGAAGGACATTTTTCCCAGCATGGGTTATGTTAGCCTATGACATCACTGGCAGGAAGGCAGTTTTATGAGTGGTTTTGCTTGCTGCTTCTGTTAAAGCAGAACAAATACTATCTAATGTTAAAAAGAGCCTATGTGGTAGAGAAAATATGTAGTAGCTGTCTCCTTTATAATCAGTTATGGGAATAGGAAGGAAATGCAGGTTACATAGCATTTTAATTCTTTTTTTGATTGTGTGTGGTGGAGACAGTCCTGTCAAGTACAAAATAGTTAAATTTTATATTGAACTTCTCTATTAAAATCTAGACTTTTATTTGGATTTATAGAGAAGAATATAAGCCAAAGAAACCTCTAAAGTTAAAAATTCATACTCAGAATTTGTGGAACAAATGTAAACATAAAAAAGGAGAAACAACTATAGAAGAGAGTGTCAAAGTGAAGTTGCTGGATTCGAGTAACTACTGTTTCAGTGCTGAAGAAATTTCCTGAAGTATGTGAACAGCTTCTCATATAATACCTTTTCCAGAGGATTTACCTGTATCAGGTAAATCTTTTTCACGTCTTTAGAACAAGCTGCAGACATCTCATCAGGATCAACCTTCGCTGCACTTCTGAAGAAACGATGCGTTTGTTTTCTGCAAGAAGGTGTTTCTGTTGCGCGATGCGCGCTGGTGATGTTCTCCTGCTGCAGTACTGTGGGAGAGCTGCCCAGCACTGGCTCCCAGAAACAGCTTCTTTTCAAGGGGAGGGTTTCTGGTGGCCCTGTATTCGCTTAACAAGAACACTGGCACAGGAAGCAAGGACTGTACTTCCTTTGAACTGTGATAAAACTGAATGTATTTTATGTGGATTATTTTAGGGCACTGGGTCAGAGGCAGGAGGGTCAGGAAGTAATTTGGAGTTGTTGCCATGTAATGGCTATTCCATGTTTCTGCCTTAATTCGAAGCGGGTAGAGGTCTGGCAGTCGAAATGCCGCTCTCTGTCGTGACACTGTCACTGCGTGTGGCACGTCTCTTCCTCTGCTGCACGCCTTTTTCTCACAAATGTCTCTTTATGTCACCGTAAGAGGAACTGATGTGTGAAAGCTATGGCAGGATGCGTTGCAGATTGTTTTGCACAAACGTGTGCTGACGAATATTTCGGCTCTATACCAAATCCACTGCAAAATTTTCCTTGGACTACTGAGAGCTTTGAATCCACAGCGCAAAAGTAATTTTGTTGCATATTACAATATTGTTATTATAATTTATGATTATTAATTTACCCTGGAGTATTAGTGGAAAGGAAGGCGAGATGAGTCATTAAAGTTGAAACTTTAAAAAGGCAAAACAATTGGTAGTCTGACCGTAGTTTACATATCTTTGATCATTTTATATCGTTTATATTTGCTAATTGAAAATGTGGGGAACAAGTGTCAACAGCATTATATTTAATCCTATTTCCCACTGCATTTCTTGGAGGTGGATCCATCAGGAAAATCCGTCACACAGTAGATGGAGGTGTGTGACACTTAACGAGACGTGGAGGGGAGTGTGTTTGAAGCACAGATTCTGGACCATAAGGAAGCACTTGTCTCT